ATCATACGGCCCATCAGCTTGTTTCCTCGTTTCTGCATTTTCGAATCTTCTTTTCTTTTCTTTTTTTTTGCTTCTCCACATCGTCTTCTCGCCGTCTGTCGTTGCTATTAATCTTTGCCAGCTTCATCATCCACTGAATTACATGTCAGAAGTTTGGCCGACAGAAATCTTCTTCTCTCCTTTTTTTTGGTCCTGCATTTCGGTCAACGGCGTGATACTTTTTTTTCCAAATTCATTTAGTTCTATATCAGTGTACAGCTCAAGATGGCCTTGTTGAGCTTTAGCCTTTCTTTATCTTTCTAACTCGCATTCTCTCTTTCTCTACTTCTTTCTTCCATGCTTTTTATGGCAAACTCGGATGAACACATACCGAAATGATGAAACAGCTCAAGTAGAGGCTCAGATGAGAAGAGTAACTTGGTGAGGAGTGAAATCATCATCTTCCGTTTGTTCGTCTTTTGCTTCGTCCACTTTTCGTTTATTCCTTTCTATTCTTTTCTTTGTTGCTCTTCAGTTTCTTTTAAAATTGTCTACAGCCAGCATACATCCTTTTCCACACCACTTCTTACTTGGAACACACGATTGTCAGCAGAAACATCACAAATCCGACAAAATGCCCAAAGAAGGACCAAAAGCAAACACCAGCTCCTTCAATGATTTGTGTCAGTTTTTGGAATTTCCCTCCGATTTCCTTTCTCTAGGATCATTTCCTCTCTAGCTATCGGAGTCTGTTGTTCCACCCTGTGGTTGATTATTAATCACCATTAGCGTTTTTCATATTAACTTCTGATAAATGAAATCAGCTGTTTAGAATATGCTCCTTATCGCTCCATCAATCTCCACTTCTTCAAAGCCATCGTTTTCTTCTACTCCTTCACAATACTCTTATCCTCTTCGTTTTGAGCTTCCACTTTTATAGCATTTAATTTGCTCTTTCAAATTTCTATTTCGTCAACCTTGTTTGGCCAATTTTTGATATTTTATATATTTAATTAAAGTTATAAAAGATTCTCAAAAATACTGGCTGTTGATTTCTTCCTTTTTTCAGTCTTTTTCTCTTCCTTCTCTCTCTATCTCTTCTTCTCTCACTATTTTCACTCTTTAAATCACATCGTGTTCAACCAGTGAATCTAAGTTGGCTCATTGGGTTCCATCTCCTCATTTTCATGTTTCAACTAAAAGAGGAACCAGCTTCAGATCCGAATTGAAGCTTCTATCAATTGGCAATTCTTTCTCTTATTCCCTATATCTCTCTTTCTCTTTCTACTCTAGTTTTCTACATTCTCACTATCTCTTCAAACTTTTCTCTCTCTTTAGCCAAATTGTGCCTTCAATCCCAAATTTGTTCTTCTTTTCATTCATTTTGACAGTTAGGAGGTTCCTTCCTCATTTTCTTCTTTAACAAATCAAAGTTGGGAAGTATCATCTATTCGAATGCGATACGAGAATTTAATGGACTTGTGAAAAATGAAAAAAGCTACTTTCTCTTCAGAACTCTTCTACAATGATCATACTGAAAGAGAGAGAGAGAGTGATAGATAATGAACGCATATTATCATCGGAAAGATCTTTTCATACTCTTTCAAAGGTTTCTCCTTTAGCTTAACACATTCGACCGAAGAAAGAGAAAGAGAGAGAGAAGCAAAAAAAAAAAGAGGGAGAGTGGCAAAAGAATGAAAGGCAAAAGTTGTCCCTCAGGAAGTCAGAAAAAAAAACCAGCAAAAAGCTGAATGTGCACGAACTCTTCTTCATCTTGTTTGTCTTCTTCTCCGAATTTTTTGATTTTTCTTAAGTTTCTTTGTTGTTTCTCCTTCAATATCCTATGTCCTCTATTGCATATTCTTTATCCTACCGTTTATATCCTTATAAGGATAGCTTTATATACTATGCGTTTACAAGCTTTTCGTACAATTAATTGATGTTTCGTCAAATTCAATTATAATTACTTCCTTTACTGAAAATGAAATTTGTTAAGAATATCCACAGTATAAATGAGAGATGGAGTTCTACGGTCATCGCCCACCCGACTATGGGTAAGTTTACATCTGAATAATCAAATATAAAATGAACCATTGAGATATATAAAAATAAAAGATACATTGATGGATAAAAATTAAATGAACGTACACATATGTATGTATGTACATATATGTAAATGGTTGTTGAGAAAAAGAAATAAACAACCGCTCTACTCAGTGACATTTGGTACTAAATGATTATGTTTGTGTGCTTCATTGATTATCGCGTGAATACTCACGTAACATGCAAATGAGACAATTCTCGTATCATAGAGATAAATGAAATAACATGAGAAAAGTTGTAAGAATGTTCTATTATGAAAGAAATATATGTTTATTTATATATCTATATGTATAGCTAAGATCTAAGAGAGAATAGAGTGAGAAAGACACATATCTTCAAGTGAAGTCAGAAAGTAATGAGCAGACGCTTGAGGCAATCTGAGACTCCGATCGGCAGCTTCGAGACGTGTGAATAATTCAAACTATGATTAAAGCACTGCCAACATGACGAGTTTACACGAAAGCTGAACGAGACATTCTAAAATTCTTATACAATTCTTATTCTTTTAACCATTTTCACTTTCAATTCTTATTTTTTTCTTGCTTGTTGTATCTATATATGTATATTCATTTTCGTTTTTTTTTCTGCCCAACCAACATAGCCATTCCGTTACCCACACGTACAAATCATACATTCTCTTCAAATACTTCCCCCTCCCACCTCTCTCTCTCTCTCTCTCTCTCTGTCTCTCATTCTGTTTCTCTATTCATTTACATTTTTGACGCATTTTTTTCTCATTTTCTCTCAATTATATTTCCTCATAATTCCCAGCGTTTGAACTTTTCAATTGATTAAACTTTTAAAGATTTCCTAATAAGTCCTGCTTGAGCAATACATCTACTTCTCCATCAATCCGAATGAACATAATTGAATGAAATGCCAAGAAAGGAATATTCTCAGTTGATTTTATGAAAGATTCTCTTTAACTGCTTCTTGTTTTTCTCATATTTTCTGTTTATAACACACGACGAGAAAGAAAAAAAAACGAAAGAAAAAGGATTTGTGAAACATAAACGAGACAGGAAACTCATTCATTTGCTGACCATTTTCTTACATTTTTTCATATAAAATAGTCGAATTTATGCTTTTTGCTGCTGTTTGAATGAAAATATGATTTTTATTTTCATAATAACCTTGAAACTAGCAATAAGCGAAACTGTGAAAGATTCCTTTATTTACGTTTTGTTCAATCTCAACTACAGATGTTATTAGTTTTTGAAATGCTTGTAACTATCTCCCTTCCTTTCTCCCTCGCTTCCTTTTCTCCTCTCTCTCTCTATCTCTCTATCTTATAATCATCTTCTAAACCTCACATTGTCATGCAATACAGACAGTTCGTTTTTTTCTTTTTTTTCTGTTGCTTGAAGTTGTGAAGAATTAATTTTCTCGATTCTTCTCAATCAGAATGCTAGAACAGCTTTCAATCTCATGTCCAACATTTGGAAGCTTCATGCATGGTACACATCTAAGCTGAAATAAAGCGAGAGGTCACATCAAGTACTTTGACTTCTCCTTTTTTTCTCTCTTTAGCTCATTTATTGGTTGAGTTTCAATGTTATTTCTTATTTCGCTACTTTCCCATTTCAACCTGAATGAAATGAAAATCTATTGTTAAAAGAAAACTTTCAACATAACACAGTTTTTTTCTTCCTTTATCCCTACTCCTACTTACTCACTCTTGCTCGTTGTTTATATGGCTCTCTGATTCTTTATGTATCTCCTGACTTTTCAAATCAAGGTGGAGAGAAGTAACATGCTATAGCACAGAGCGTGAGAGTCTAAGTATATAGATAACAAGAAGCAGAATGTATGTATATAGAAGGAATTTCTTTCAATAACTATTTGTACTTTTTCAACTTCTCAACTTGAACTAATCACTCATTTCCCAGTTCGAATAAAAGAATAAAAGGAGAATGAGCATTTCCACCAGCCTCTTATTGAAGCAATAGATCTTCTTCATCTTCCTTTTTTTCTTCTTCCGTTTTTTTGTTCTCTTCAACTTTTCATTCATTTCATTTTGTCTTGTTCATAACCATGCCCGTAAGCTCATCAGTTATTCAGGCTTTTCCGAATTCTTTTGTTATACCGGCTTTCATATCCATTTGAGTTGGTTAGTCTGTTGCCTTAAAGAACATATACTCATCTTTTAGATGCTCTTTCTATTTTCTTTCAAGAGAGTGTCCTCTTACTCTCTTTTTCCTCTTCTCTCTTCATAACTGAAGATGAAACCTATGTTTCAGTTTTCTAATTAGTTTTCGTTCGAATAAATCTGAGATTTTTCATAATTTCTTTCGTCATACGATCCATCTTCAATCCGTACTCAAGTTTGATTCAAAAATAGTTATTCTCTTCTTCATTTATTCATTTCAACAATTAATTTTCTTAAACGAAAATTTAAGTAGAAAAATGATGGAAAATAAATTTTTTTCATATTCCATCGTCTACATTTCCGTTCTGTTTGATTTCCCTCTCTATTGTCTGACAAGAAGAAAAAAAAACGGATTTTTGCATTGGCCTTTCCTCTTCACTCTCCGCCCTCTCATTCCATTTCTTACATATTGCTATGAATGTTTTTTATTCCTATTTACATGTATTCTTTTCTTAAGAAATTTAGTTTCAACATGAAAAAAACAACATACACTCTCTCAAATCTTAGAGTATAAAAGAAAATAGTAGTTTGGATTGGATTTCAATGAAATAATTTGCGTGTAGTGGAGAAATCACAAAATGCCACATCGAGAAGACGACATAGAGCGAACAAAATCATTAATGCAATCCATATTATCAGATGTTATTGAGAAAAGGTTAACGTTTATTTCACCTCAACAATACTTTGAATGGAATCAAAAAAAAAAGAAAAAACTTTTACAGAACAACAGCTTAATGCTTCGAACACATCTTATCTTATTCATTTTCAGCGAATCATACAAGTTCATTCGGATGGCCGACGATTTACATGATGTGGCTCAGTATTTGAATGATATGAGAATATGTTTTATTGCTATTACAATTACTGGATATGTGCTATTGATTATTTATGGATTCGTTTTGTGTATGAGGAGAAATCGGCAGAATCAACCACGACGTCGAAATTGGGATTACCCGGTTAGTGATCTTATATGTATATGTATGAGTTGAACATCATGCTGAAAAATTATTTAACACAGCTCACGTGAAAAACGCGTTAATAATTGAAGCGTCGTAACAACCGCTCACACGTGAGACTCATTGGAAATGATTTTAAACCCACAACCGCTCATTTGTGCAGCTTATGCGAAATGAAAGTATCTCTTTTTACGTCAAATTCCAAAATGAACAATACACACCAACGGCTCACGTGGAGAGCACGTTGAAAATCAAACTTCCGAACCGACCGCTCTCTTTTTACGTCAAATTCCAAAATGAACAATACACACCAACCGCTCACGTGGAAAGCACGTTGAAAATGAAACTTCCAAACCGACCGCTCACTTTTTACGTCGCATTCCGAAATGAACGAATAGCGTGGGAAAATAGTAAGCGTGCATTCATTTGCTGAGGTAAATGGCGTGTGTAGATTTGAAGCGCATGCACTCAGTAAATCTGCAGCAGTTTGAGCATCTGTTCTGATCAGAGATGGATCTATTAGAGCATTCCAAGAAGAATCAATAAAAGTCATTTATAAAATACTTTACCAATATATAATTCTAACGAAAGTCATAAATTAGAGTATAACTGCATCTTAAATGGCTCATAATTCACTTTCTTATTTTCAGCTTGAAACAACACGAGATTTCAATAACACAGCACAAACCAACACAGATGAATTAACTTCCGTAAGAGGTGATGGTAACATCGGTTATGGCAGGAGGTAGATTTTTGGAATATTTTAAAATAATTTATAAAACAAAATTTATTGAATACTATGCATAACCTTTTGTTTTCCAAAAAAAATAATTTTTTTTCTCAAAAGAGCCGTCAACCTGTAGACAATAGTTGTGTAGTTGTCGTTCTTTGGTAGATTTCTTCCTTTAAACTCTTGAGACAATGAGTTTTTTTCTTCCATAATTCATAATCTCTCTTCTTCATTTGTGTGTGTGAACATGCCATTGAAGCATGTATGACTCAAAGTACTTGAAGAAGATTAGAGCATTCAGACATTGAATGATGGAAACGATAAAAGTGAAGAATATATATCTAATTAAAAATCTCATTATCTCAATAATTAACTCCATTTCATATTCTTACAGCTTTGTTAACCGTTTTTCGAATATTCGAAAAGATTCATACGTATTCATAGATGAGTACATCTATGAAACTAAATGCTTAAGAAATAAATTAAAATTTTAAAAATATAAACAAACTTTGAGACCAACATATATTGGTTTTAACAAACTTAATAATGAAACAAATGACAATATCAATCCATTTTGCAGATCTCATCGGCTAACCAAGGTGAAGCATACGTTTCCCTTTTAAACTTTTTTTTTCTTTTTTTTTCTTTTTTAACTTTCTAATTTTTAAATTAACATTACTCCTTAGTTGATATTATTCGAATGAGAATTATATGAATCTTCATTCGAATAACAAGAAGCATTCTGAACTAACAATCATCCTTCCATTATCTCTGGACTACCAGCGTCACTGTAACGCGTAGCACACACATTCACATACACTCACACATACACACACATTCTGTTATCCATTTGAAAATGCTTTTGTGATCAAATTTAACGGAGTCAGAGATAATATAGAGATGAGTATGTCACTGGATTGATTATCACAAAACAACACTTTCACATGCCAGCAGCAACTTTAACAGACTTTTGTGTTTGGAAAAGTTAAATCGTGCTTTTGCCAAAACCAGTTTGCGATTTGAGTTCGTTTTTGCACACTCCGGCTGCTTGCATGTGCAAATCGTTTGACATTTCTTGTTTTTATGATCTTCCTTAAGTTAATTAACAATTGGTTGCTCTCTCTTTCTTTCTCTCTCTATCTCTCTTCAACTTTTTGCAAATTTATCTCTCTCTCTTTCTATCTCTCGTATTCCCTCTCTCTCTCTCTCTCATTCTACTTCACTCTTCCTCTTTTCTTAGAAGAATAGAGGAAAAGTTAGATTTTTTCAATAATTTAACTAGTATAGATAACTGTCAACGATAGCTAGCTAAATATGAGTGCGTGTGCGTGCTACTCGTTTTTGGAATTTTGAATATGATATGAAAATTCCAAAAACTTTAAATTAGTTTTAAAGTTTTTTCTTTATTTTTCTTAGTTTTCATCTGTTCACTCAGATACTACATGTGATTATATAATTATCAATTGATTCAATTATATAATTACAATATATTTTTTAAAGAAGATTAATAGGGAATGTTTTAGCAGAACTCACTCGAACGCCGTTCCGTCCTTCATGCGTCACGGACAGATGAACCATCAACAGACGAGACTGATGGCCGAGCAGGACGGAGCAGTAGTACGAAGGGGCGGGGCCTCGCAGGAAGTGAGTTCTTTAAAAAATTCTATGAACACGTATATGTATGGGAAGAAATAATATTCTTCCTAGTAGTAATGTCTCGCAAACTAGTGATTGTACTGAATGTGTGCGTGTGTGTGTGTGTGTTACGGATGCTTCTGATGTGCTTAGAAAGAGTTCTGTTGCGTTTCATTTTAGATCAAGAGAATTCCAGCATTGTCTGCTTGTCCTGTTTGCTTTTTCTTGGTTTTTTTTTATTTCAGAAACTATCAGATAATTCTTTTTGTTCGAACAGCAATCTTGATGATGATGAGGATGATAGTAAATTTAGTAATACTTTCGATTCGACAGCTCCAAAATATTTGGTTAAAAGTGCTTCACAAATTTATTTGGCACCGCCTATGGAATACTGATTTGATTGTTATTGGCTTCTGTATGTACACTGTGATTGTTTCTGATATTTATTTTTTACTATTATTATGAATTTACATATTTGTTGAGCTTCCGTGTAGATGATTGCTTCAGTTTGTAATAGCACGTTGTATGATTGCTTTTTCTGTTTTCTTTGTTTCATCGAGAGATATATCAGAATAGAATGCATGAAATCGCTTGCTCACTTTACGCTTTGACTGTAGAAGTAAAATTTTTTTACAATTCAAACTAACAAAATGTGTAAAAATTGGAAATTATAATGAAAATTCTGTTACAGGTGAAGCACCAGATTCCTCACATCACAACGGATCCGCCGGTCGATGAAAAGAGCAAAGTTCCGCAACTTGTTAAGGATTCAATTGAGACATGAGATTCTGAATCTCTTCAGTCATTAGCATATGTTTTTATTTTTTCTTAATTTTTTCTCAATTATATTTGTAAAAATTTATATTTTAATTAATTGAATAGCTAAAAACTACCACAGAAAGTCTCAAAATGATTTGTTGAAGATTGTTTGATTGATCTTTAACACCAACCTTCTTTCATCATTGGATGCTTCTTTGACATTGGAAATTAACTAACAACTATCAGCTTTACAACAACAACAACAACATCAACAACTAAACCTTTTTTTTTACTTTTTCGGAAAAACAAAGCTTATTTCTTTCTCGGTGAAGTACGAAATACCCATCTTCATATCTTTAAATTCCATAATTTCCATGTTTAATACGAGACGGGTCATTATTTGAAAGTTTTTTCTTACTCAATTAATCCTTATTTGAATGTTTTATTACTTTTATATATTACTTATATACTCTACAGTATCATTTTACAATAATAATTTTTTCTGATGGTTTTGTTGACCGAAAGAAATAAAAATAGCTTTGGATTTCTTCATTCTTTCATGTTATCTTCTAATAATGAGATAACCACAGTTTTTGTCCAGTTTTCTTGGATTATATGTCCTTATGAAGCAATAAATCAGAATAATATCTTCTATTTCATTTATACGTTTGAACAAGTAGTTCGAAAGCCATAGATAGAATAACGTTTGGCAAGTATAAAAGTTTCGAGCCTTAGGTGGTTAATTTGTCATATATGGGCGTAAATAACAGAATAACATGTTCAAGTATCTGTTCTTTCGATAATATCACAGCCCAAAAAACATTTGAAGTAATATTGAACTAGAGGACAACTTCTAATCACCAAACGTGAAACGCTTAAGATACTGATAAGACTCGAACAGAGAAAATCATTCAACGAACATTCATTCCATTAATTATCAAAACCATAATTATAAAATTCAAAACTAACCACAGACTTGCCCGCTACGTGATCACATCTACTCGGGCATCAGACTCGCTCGTATGATCTGGATCGATCTAAAAAAGATTTGAGAACACGTAGTTGTTGTTTATATGATAAGAACACGTAAAACTATGCGTTCGGGGGGAATCGAACCC